ATTGTAACCTGGATTAAAAGTGTGGATTATTGTAACCTGGATTAAAAATGTGGATTATTGTAACCTGGATTAAAAGTGTGGATTATTGTAGTGAAGCCTTCGTCTTCAACCATGGACAGAGGCCTCATGTCAGTGACAATCATGTTCAGGATGATTTCAGTGAAGACAGCTGCTGCTGTGGTGTCCATGATGTCTGTCCATCATGAAGGATGTTGTTGTTTGTTGTTGTTTTCTGGAATGAGACAGTAAATATGTATTATAGCATAATTTACAGTAACTCAAGAAATGCCTTGTTTCACTTACAGTGTTAGGTTCAGGCAAAAGTAGCTAAAAGAGCAATACACACACACATATATATATAAAATACTTAATTACACAGATTTGAGTAGATGTAATAAATTACTTTAATTCCTGTTTAAATGCAATTCATCCTGCCATACCTGCAGTGTGTTCAGACTTTGCCAGCAAATTAAAAGTTGAAGCTTAATCATTAAATGATTATCTTTGTGTTAGATTTATTTATAAATCACATTTAAACACTGCTTGTACCAATTAAATTAAATAAAAAGTAACACACGTTCTCCATCACCGTCATTAATCAGATAAACAAACAAACAAACAGCAGCTTCATCTACCAGACAGACTGACGTTACGTTTTCTCTCTTGAAACAGAACAAAGTGTTAAATTGTAGAGACTCACCTGCAACACATGAAGAGTTGTATCAGCTGCAGCTCCTTCCTCCTCCTCGTGACTCCCACATGTTTACGTTTTATCTCCGTGGTTCTCCCGTGTCGGCAATTTTCAAAGCTGCATGTTTCTCAGTTTTTATCTTTGTGAAGTTCTCCCACACTTTGGAGGACTTGGGTCGATCAGTTTTCTCTGCGTCGGTCATTTGTAAAATTTACTTAATTTCCTTTGAAAACACTCTGCTCTGCAGTTTGTTTGTTTTTCCAAATTTTATTCAGTCAGCCAACACTGACAATGAACTGCAGGTGAACAAAACAACTCCACAGCGCCGTGAAAGACGCTTAATCGCGCAACACATCGAATCAATAATGAAAGTCGTTGCCAACACTTTTAATCATCGATTTTTATTGATTTTATCCATTCGTTGTTGCAGCCCTAATTGAGTGGTGGTGGGATGCATCACAAACTATGATGTCCAGCTACAGGCAGGAGGTGGAACACCTGGAGAGCTGGTGCAAAGAGAACAACCTTCACATCAATGTGAAGAAGATCAAGGAGATGATTGTGGACTTCAGAAGGAACAAAAACATCTACACCCCCCCGAACTTAAGAGGATCTGCGGTGGAAGTGGTCTCCAGCTACAAGTACTTGGGTGTGCACCTGAACAACAACCTCAGCTGGAGCAACAACACCACCAGCCTGATGAAGAAAGATCATCACAGACATCTACACCTCCAGATGCAGGAAGAGGACCACCTGCATCATGAAGGACCACACTCACCCAGCACACACATAAGGTGTAGAACCACTAGACTGAGGAACAGCTTCTACCCTGAGGCTGTTAGACTCATGAATCTCTGACCAGAATAATTACTGAGGAAAATCACATCATGTTGCTGCTGATCAGTTTCATGTTGCTGCTGATCAGTTTCATGTTGCTGCTGATCAGTTTCCTGTTGCTGCTGATCAGTTTCCTGTTGCTGCTGATCAGTTTCATGTTGCTGCTGTTCTGTTTCCTGTTGCTGCTGATCAGTTTCATGTTGCTGCTGTTCTGTTTCATGTTGCTGCTGATCTGTTTCATGTTGATGTGTTCATGCGTGCTCATCTGCTCACACAGACTCATGTTCGTGCTGCTGTTCGACGTAATGTTTTTAGTGCTTAGTGTATATTTAGTTGATGTTTTTCTTGGTTCATATTTTTGATCTTATTACTGTTTTTATTTTACATTTTACTGTTGGATGTAACTGGGACCCTGTGGACATCATGTCGTTCCATCACATGCATCACAGGTGATGGAACGACAACAATGAATATCTGTATAATGTAACCCAAACGGTTTTATTCAGAACTTTAGAGTCCAGTTCTGATACAAAGACGGGTTGAAGACCATCTCGGTGTGTCTGACCTCTGACCTTTGACCTCTGAGGGCAGCAGGGGCTCTATTTGTGGCGGCTGCCCCTCCTCTTCATGGCGGCGGTACACTGAGGACAGAACCACTTTCCTTTGGGGGCCTCAGTCAGACCCACGCAGCCGTAGTGGAACCATTCGATCGGACACTGAGGACACACAGGAAACGGGTCGGTAAAGAACTCGGATCGCAGAATCAGAACCATTCTGACTCAAATTAACCACAGAAAAAGAATGAAGGAGTGTAGAAACCCCAGAACCCACATCCGTGTTGTCACAGCCGACCATCTCTCCATAGGACACCTGCAAGACATCAAACAGAACCCGACATCAGAACCAGAACCTGACAGCAGAACCTGACATCATGGTGGTCTGAATATACCTGGTTACAGATGCAGTAGCGGGGCTCGTTCGGGTCATAGGTCCAGTCCACCTGGTTGTTGGCGTCGGCTTCGGGCAGAACCACCGCCTGCTGGGAAAGCTCCTGGGCCAGTGCAGACGACGAGGAGCAGGAAGACAGCGAGGAAGAGGACGACGAGGAGGACGACTGCTGATTGGACGACTTCACGCTGCTCCTGGAACAGGGAAACAGTCATTACCCAAGTGGGCGGAGTCTGTACAACCAGGTGAGATAGGTGTATTATGTGGGTGGAGCGTGTAAGACCATGTGAGACAGGATGTCCCAGTGGGCGGAGCCTGGCCTTACTTGGACTTGCGTCCCCTGGAGTCGGAGGCAGCGGTGGGGGTGAGGGTCTGGGTGAGGGTGGAGGCCAGAGCTGAGGAGGAGTAGCCCGAGTTGTCCCGGGTCAGAGAGAACTCTCTGCTCAGCTGGAAGTCGTTGTTCTTGATGGCCTCGTAGCTCGCTTTGAGACTGGATGTCCTCCGGCCATCCTTCATCTGGACCACCAGAATGGACCAGAGTTAGAACCACTAGTCCACATGTTAGTGGATCATTCTGAACCGGGTCACATCTCTACCCTGTCCTAAGCATAAACTCCTGAACCGTCTGAAGACTCTGGACTATCTCGTTGCAAATCTCAACCGCAACGATAATTTATGACGTTCACTTCCTGTTTTAGGATCATTTATGAAGTTCACTTCCTGTTTTAGGATCATTTACAACAGTCACTTCCTGTTTTAGGATCATTTACGATGTTCACTTCCTGTTTGAGGATCATTTACCACTTTCACTTCCTGTTTTAGGATAATTTATGACGTTCACTTCCTGTTTGAGGATCATTTACAAGGTTCACTTCCTGTTTTAGGATCATTTACGACATTCACTTCCTGTTTGAGGATCATTTATGACATTCATTTCCTGTTTTAGGATCATTTACAACAGTCAGTCACTTCCTGTTTTATGATAATTTACAACAGTCAGTCACTTCCTGTTTTAGGATCATTTACGATGTTCACTTCCTGTTTGAGGCTCATTTACAAGGTTCACTTCCTGTTTTAGGATCATTTATGACAGTCACTTCCTGTTTTAGGAACATCAATGACATTCACTTCCTGTTTTAAGATCATTTATGACATTCACTTTCTGTGTTAGGATCATTTGACGTTCACTTCCTGTTTTACGATCATTTATGATGTTCACTTCCTGTTTTAGGATCATTTATGATCACTTCCTGTTTTACGATCATTTATGACGTTCACTTCCTGTTTTACGATAATTTATGACATTTACTTTCTGTTTTAGGAACATGTATAACGTTCTCTTCCTGTTTTAGGATCATTTATGATGTTCACTTCCTGTTTGACAATCATTTATCACGTTCACTTTATGGTTTAGGATCATTTAAGATGTTCACTTCCTGTTTTGGGATAATTAATGACGTTCACTTCCTGTTTTAGGATCATTTAAGATGTTCACTTTCTGTTTTAGGATCATTTATGACGTTCACTTCCTGTTTTACGATAATTTATGGCATTCACTTTCTGTTTTAGGAACATGCATAACATTCACTTCCTGTTTTAAGATAATTTATGACATTCACTTCCTGTTTTACAATCATTTATCACGTTCACTTTGTTTTAGGATAATTTAAGATGTTCACTTCCTGTTTTAGGATCATTAATGACATTCACTTCCTGTTTTCCGATGATTTATGACATTCACGTCCTGTTTTAGGATCATTTATGACATTCACTTTCAGTTCTGTGATCATTTATGACGTTCACTTCCTGTTTTAGGATCATTATGATGTTCACTTCCTGTTTTAAAATAATTCTGATGTTCACTTTCTGTTTTAGGATAAGTATGACGTTCACTTCCTGTTTTAAAATAATTCTGATGTTCACTTCCTGTTTTATGATCATTTATTACATTCACTTCTTGTTTCAGGTAACAGTACCATGGTGCCAATGGGACCATGTTGCTAAAGAAACCTCACTGTCAGAACCACTCTGCCAATAGGACCATGCTGCTGGAGATTTATTTCTTTTCCGTGTTGGCGCCTTGTTTCTGTGTTTTTGTTGCATGCTTGGAATAAATCCTAGTTTATGTTAGTTTAGTTCATGTTAGTTTAGTTTATGTTAGTGCTCGCATTAAGGGTGTAAATTTTAGCTGAACAGAACCTATGAGAAACGTGCTGCTGCTGTTAGGTATTGTTTTGCACAGTTAGTGACTGGCATATATCTTTGATCTTTTAACGTACCATTTGGCGTTCTTTTACCATATATTCATTCAACCTTTATTTAGACAGGTAAATCCCACTCGAGGACTCATTTACAAGAGAGACCTGATGATATTTTACTTTATAGCTCAGATCCTTATTTACGGTTTCTTTTTACACTTTATAATTTTGCTATTGTTTGATGTAACTGGGACCCTGTGCACACAATTTTGTTCCACTACATGTACCACATGTGATGAGAATGACAAAGAAACTCTTGACTCTGAACTCTGAGTTCCTCAAGGTTCAGTGCTTGGGCCAATACTCTTTACTTTATATTTGCTTCCATTAGGTAAAGTTATTAAACAGCATGGGATAAATTTTCATTGTTATGCTGATGATACACAGTTATATTTGTCCATTAACCCCAATGAATCCAATCAGCTACTTAGACTACAAGCATGTCTTAAAGACATAAAAACCTGGATGACCCTTAATTTTCTCCTGTTGAACAGACAAGACTGAGGTTTTGGTTTTTGGACCTGAGCACCTTAGGAATGAATGTTTCAGTCTTTCTCCCTCCTTAGATGCATTAATCTGTCCTCCAGCTCTAATGTTAAAAATCTTGGTGTTATTTTTGATCAGGACACGTCTTTTATCCCCCACATTAAAAACGTTACTAGAACCTCCTTCTTCCACCTGCGTAATATCACTAACATTAGAAACATCTGATCTAAAGATGATGCAGAAAAACTGCTCCATGCATTTGTCACGTCTAGACTGGACTATTGCAATGGTTTATTATCTGGGTGTCCAAATACTTCTTTAAAACGTCTTCAGTTGATCCAAAATGCTGCTGCCAGAGTCTTAACTGGAGTTACTGGGAGAGATCATATCTCTCCAGTTTTAGCTTCTCTCCATTGGCTCCCTGTCAAATCCAGAATAGAATTCAAAATCTTACTTCTAACTAGGAATGCACAATATAAACGGTATAAACGATAGACATTTAACCTACGATAGAGATCTGTCTTCTAGCGGCTAACCGCAGTAATGCTGTGTCTGATGTAAAATCAGAGCTGTCAGATTTAATTGTTACTTTTTTAGTTGAAAACTGTGCGAAAGTGGTGTTAGTCTTTTCTTCGAGAGCTAAGTGGCGAAGCTACAAGCTAACTACAGCCGGCTTGCCGTAGTGTTGTCGTATTCTGACGCAGGCGTAAAACGCCGTGTTCCATCAAAAGTTTTCTTGTTTTTTTTTCTGTTGAAAGTTACAGTAAGCGTTGGTCATGTTTAGAGAACCCTGCTCTCTGATCTGTGAACAGAACTCTGTGTTGTGTGATTTTACTGCGAGACCCTCTGGTCAAAGCCACAGACTCATTTTGTGTCAGCTCCATTAAAGCAGCAGGAGGCGCCCACTAGAGGTTTGGAGGTGAAGTGTTTCCAGTTGCTGCTCTGTTGCTGTTCATTTATAAAGTGAGACTGGAAACTGTTAACATATTCTTCTGTTTAAAACATGTGGCTAAAACTACATCTGATCTCTTTTGCACTGTTTTGCACTACAAGCAAGAATATCACAATACATACTGTGATATGAATTTTATGCCATATCACACATTCCTACTTCTAACCTACAAAGCTCTCAACAACCTAGCTCCATCTTATATTACAGATCTTATTGTTACATATTTTACTAACAGAGCACTTCAATCTCAGACTGCCGGTTTACTCGTGGTTCCTAGAGTTTCCAGAAGCAGAATGGGAGGAAGATCTTCCAGTTCTCAGGCTCCTCTCTTGTGGAACCAACTTCCAGTTTCTGTCCATGAGGCTGACACGTTGTCCAGTTTGAAGACTGGGATTAAGACTTTCCTTTTTGATAAATCCTATAGTTAGGGTTGGGTTGTTATGCTGCTATAGACTTAGACTACTAGAGGACAAACTGACCTCATTTCCTTAAATGAATTGTTAAAACTGAATAGTTTTCATTTGATACTATTTCTATCTTAACATGTGATTCTTGACCTGCCATTGTGTATCTATTCCTACCAAACCCAGCCGGTCGAAGCAGATGGTCCTCTTGTCCTGATCCTGGTTCTGCTAAAGGTTTCTTCCTCATGAGGGAGTTTTTCTTTCCACTGTCGCCTTCATGCTTGTTCAAGATGAGAGTTCAGTGATGGAGTTAAACTCAAAGCTGCTCCTCAGATAAATAATGTTCAATTATTATTTTATACATGAATGTTTCTGTTCAATTATTATTTTATAGATGAATGTTTCTGTT